CTTCAGCAGTACATAGGGATTCTAGAGAAGTATGTACCTGGAAATGTGTCGAAAAATAAGAAAATGAAGGGTCAGCAGCAGTAAGCAATATGCAACAGCTACCAGAACTCCAGAAATGAACTCAAACAAAGCCCAGAATGAATTGTAGAAGAGCAGCAACAGTAAACACCCAAACTAACTTGAACAAACCCAAACAAATTCGAAATCAACCAATACAATCTCTGAAACTTCAGCAACCAGTACACAAACTCTTCAAATCATTTTTATCTAGGCTAGGGCTCGAATTAACAGCTGAACTTGCAATTGATCTAAGGAATATCAATAGAACAGTAATTTTTATGGAGTTTTCTCTTGTTTTCTTTTTGTTTTTGGTTTTGGAGAACTAGATCTAGAATTTTTTGATTTGAAATTCAAATCTTCAGCTAGTGAAGACTTGTGGAAATTTGGGGGGTTTTCAGATTGTGAAACTTGGAAAAGAAGGCAAGGGGGCTGCCTTTTATAGGCAAATTTCAGGGGGAAGCTTCTAGATTTCACTCACACTTTTTTCCCCTCTTTTGTTTTCAGATTTTATTCATTAGTCCTAAAGTTTTGACTTGTTGCCTAAGTTATTACCCTATGTTATTGAAATTTCACTTTGCAACACCATCTAGAAGGCTCCATAGATTTCTATTTCAGTTACTATAGGATTCCCTAATTAGAAATACCTACACTACCCCTGAGCTTCAACTCAAAATTACTGCTACAATCGAACTGCTTCCTAAGCTATGAATTGAATCTCAATTAAGAATCCTAATTCACCATTGTCTAATTATCGACTAAACAGACTTAGAAATCCACATTAAACTAATCTAACTAATAATAGATGAATAAGAAAGAACCTATAATACAATGGCATCGGTTAGTCATAACAATCATATTAATCCACAGAGAAGAAACCCATTGAGTTAAGTGAACAGTCAGTCTTACTACACTAAATCGGTTAACCAATCTTTAAATCCAAGCAAATAAACTCAATTAAGCTGACCCATATTCTAAAAGAATTATGAAAAGAAAATAAACAGAACCAAGAGACTCAATTAACAAACAAGGAAGCATACTTCAACAAAACAAGAACAAAAATAAAGAATGAAAAAATAAAGAAAAAGAAGACTCACTGGAACATTTCCAAATTCAAACTCGACTGCTTTCAATGAAGTTCGAGGCCAATGACATCGGATTCCTCGTGAGAGAAGCAAGGAGGCCCTGATGCGTTCATTTGAAATCAATGGGATGAATTAGGGTTTTTGACCGATTTTGGATTTGAAATTCGAGGGGCTCGGTCATGATTTGAAGAGGATTATTTACGGATTGGTGATGAGGAGATGGAGGAGGTTCAGTGGTGTGAATTTGGACCGATTTGGGCGATGTCGCCGCCGTGGACGGCGGAGATGGCAGTAGCAAATCTGAATATTCGAGAAGGTCCAGCGGGATTCGAAGGGAACTAATAGGATATTTGTGATGAGGGCATTGAGGCGGTCTAAGGGTGTGAATTTGAGAGCCACCGGAGATGGTGGCGTTTTCTCCGGCGGCGGCGCCGGTGGCGTTACAGGGGAGTGTACGAGGAAGACGAAAATGTTTCTAGGGTTAATGAAATTTTCGGACAGTTATATTAAAAATCTAAGAACCATTACGGGCTGTTGGATTTGGGAGATGAGTGGTCCAGATTTCCTTACGCCAAACGGCGTCGTTTGGCGCCTCTTTGGACCTGACCGGGTATTGGGAACGGGATTTGGGCCTGGGGTGGTTTGGGCGTGGGGTGTTTTGGGCTATGAATTAATTTTGGCCCAATTTTGGGTGTTTCTTAAGACAATCTCATTTTAGTTACTTTCTTTTTTGCTTTTCTCTTTTATTTCTTTATTTAGTTTATTTTCATTTTGTATATATTTTTTTTATTTTTCTGATTTTATAAAAATGCTAAAATAAAACTAAAGACCTAATATATTTCCAAGTTAAGCTAATTAATTCCTAAAATTGTTTAAATCCTATTTCGTGACCAATTCGAAATAAAGACAAATAAAAATACAAAAATGAACTATTTTTGTTATTTTCTTCATATTTTGTTCTAAAACAAACCAACCACTAATTAATCCTAAAATATGAAATTAAATCCTAAATGCAAATGCCAAATGTATTTTTTTTGTTATATTTTCATATGAATTAAAATGCACAAATAAAATGCAACAATTACCAGAAACTTACACAAATATTCACAAAAATTGTAAAATAATAAAGAAATTGTTTTGTTTGAAATTTTGGGAATAATTAGCTTAGGGCAAAAATCACGTGCTCACAGCTGCCCCTCTTTGCCCGGAAGCACGAAGAGTTTTCGTGCAAAGATAAGTGAGCGGAAACGAGCGATTTTTGCCCGTTCGAATATTCCGTGTGAAGCATTTTGAAAAAGTTTGACCGCACCCTGCTTCAGAGGTTGCCTACATATCCTTGGCTAAAAAGGAATCAGGTCAGTGTAGTTCGGAAGGTTTGGTAGCTGGGACTACCAGGAGTTGTGATTTCACTGTTGTTGCTGCTGCTACTGCTCGCTGACCTCCTTATTACACCATGTCAAAACAAAAAGAAACTAGCCTAAGCTATGAATTACAAAAAGGTCCTATCTATGTCTTCTAACTTGCTCTTTGTGTTGCCTTGAACTTGTATTCTTCCACTGGAATTCTTGCGTTGTTGCCTTGCATTGTGATTGGAGATGTTTCGCCATTCCTCCGAGTGATGCTTGACCGCTAAGATTTGAAATATATGCCTTCATTCTCCAGGCGGGCTCCTGATTGCCGACGTTTGAAAAGTATTCCCTTGTTCTCCAGGCGGGCTCCTGATTGCTGAAGCTTGAAAAGTATTCCCTTGTTCTCCAGGTGGGCTCCTGACTGCAACGCTTGAAAAGTATCCCCTTGTTCTCCAGGCGGGCTCATGACTTCAACAAAACAGACAAACAAAGAAAAATTTCTGCCCCAGTGTGGTGGTTGGGCACATCATGTTATCAGATATTAAAAATTAAAGGATAGAATTTGAATTGTACTTCCCTTGTTCTCCAGGTGGGCTCCTGACTGCTGAAGCTTGAAGAGTATTCCCTTGTTCTCCAGGTGGGCTCCTGATTGCTGAACTTAAAAATCATTCTCTTGTTCTCCAGGCGGGCTCCAGATTGCTGAAGCTTGAAAAGTATTCCCTTGTTCTCCAGGTGGGCTCCTGACTGCTGAACTTGAAAAGCATTCCCTTGTTCTCCAGGTGGGCTCCTGACTGCAACAAAATAAACAACAAAGAAAATTTTCTGCCCCAGTTTGGTAACTGGGTACAGCATGTTATCAAATATTAAAAGCTAAAATTGGAATTGTACTTCCCTTGTTCTCCAGGTGGGCTCCTGACTGCTGAAGCTTGAAAAGTATTCCCTTGTTCTCCAGGTGGGCTCCTGA